AACTTTATGAACGATAAAAATAGCTATAAGTTGGTGAAAATATAGATAATCATGTACAATAGAAGTGTGAAGAAAACAAAAGCGAAAAAAACGAAGATTGATGCCCGAAAAATCGAAAATAAAAAAAATCCGTAGCTATTTAGCTACAGAATAGCTACGGAATTCTAACGGAAAGCTAATTAGCTACGGAATATTAATAAGTATTATATATGTTTTATACATATATCGAACGTGAAACGTATTTTAATAAAGCTTTAACCCATTTTGTAAATAATAATAATGATAATAATAATATAAATAATAATAGTAATAAGAATAATATAAATAATAATAATAATAATAGAAATAATAATAATAGTAATAATAATGATAATAATAATAGATATTATAATAATAATAATAATAATAATGGAGTGTATAAAACTAATAAGACACCAGCTTTAGACGGATGTGGCATGCCCGGCTGAATGGTAAGATGGTTCCTAGTATATAGAGAAAACCCGAGTTCGAATCCTGTTGCCCCCTCATTGTTTTTCCCTGGGGATTTCTACTGCTTGATTACTTCATGCTCGATTACTTCATTTTTTTTTTCGATTTCTACTGCTCAATTACTTCATGCTCGGTTTTTTTATTATTAAGTCTTTGTTTCATAAGATCATAGAATCTAAATTTCTATTTGTCAAAGTTGTGCTTCTTGCTACTGCGATTAAGTTTGGCTGTTGTTAATGGGTTAAATATCAGTCCCTAAGAACTGTTGATGCTGACTTAAGTTAGTATATCTCGTCAGAAAGGTGAGTTTGTTTCTTTTTTTTGTTTGTTGGTGTATTGAACTACTCAGATAACTAAACATAGAGGGGTTAATATTCCTTTAGTTAAGTAAATCATACAAACTGCTAAATTAGTTGAGAAATTAGTTTACTTTTTTTTTATTTAGGATAGAAGTCTTTGTTCTTGTGTTGAGAAATTGTTTGTTGGTGTAGTTGCTTCCATGATCAGTTTAACTAAAAATGGTGTTGAAACATCTATCGAGTCTTTCATTAGTTATACATTATAAGTGTGTTTCAAATCAAGCAACAATGAATGACAGCTTACCTTTCTACAGGTGGTTGTATCAATGAGTATTGGAAACACGTTGCTGCATTTCAGCCTTGCAAGTGACCTATGTGCTCCTGTCCAATTATCAAATTGACCCCGGAAGCAACATTATCCCAACAGCAGGATGCAGGGATCCATGATGTTCTCAAGAATGTTAGGCACTACAATTGCCTTTTTGCTGGCGGTGCTTGCATTTTCATTCTGGTAGGTTGCTTGACTGTTGGCACTAGACATTGAAGGGGGTAGTTTCGTCTTTTCCCTAAGTTTTTTCTTCTTGAAGCAATTCTGAAGAAATCTGATGATTGTGAGTTTCTTGTGACAGCAAGTGCTTCAGTTGCCTTTACAGACCTGTTGCTTATCTTAGCAGATTGCTTTAGTTGCAATTAAGAAATAGCAATATTCTTTCATTTACTTGTTTATTATGATTACATGCATTTAGGTGCTAAGTTTTGAAGGAATTGTTGAATCTTGTTTCTTGTTTGCAGGTGTTTCTTGGTGCTCTTTATACACTTAGCCCTTTTGACTTCCTCCCAAGATGTAAGTTATCTATTCAATGTTGTTTAATACAAAGGTGTGCAATTTGTACCTTTATTAACATTTAAGTTTCTTCTTCTTATTTATTATTTTTAATAATTACAATTGGTTTATTCTAGATTGGAGCCCGTGATCATCAGCTGTACAATGATCTTGATTACATTCATTTCTGCTATTTTACCTATTGTTGGTTGCTGTTTTTGCTATTGCAGATTGTTGTTGTTGCTGTTTTTGTTATTTTGTGATATTGCTGCTGTTGCTGTTTTTCTATTTTGTGCTATTTTGCTATTGCTGTTTTGTTGTTTTAATAATGTAAATTGAATATGGTATTTGACAAAAAAATTGGGAATTTTAAAATTTTAATTTTTTTTTTTAAATAAAACCAAGTTAGCTACGGAATAGCTACGGATTTCCGTAGCTATTTATTTCCGTAGCTATTTCGTAGCTATTTATTTCCGTAGCTATTCCGTAGTTATTTAGATCCGTAGTTATTCCGTAGCTATTTAATTCCGTAGCTATTCCGTAAGAAATACGTAGCTATTTAGTTCCGTAGCTATGGTAGCTACGGAAAATTCCGTAGCTATTCCGTAGCGATTCTGTAGCTAATCCGTAGCTATAATTTTTCCACGGGCCATTATGCTACAGGCATTTTTCCGTAGCAATTCCGTAGCTATCTGCTTATAGCTACGGAATAGCTACGGATTGTGCTGTAGCTATTGCATTAGTTTTCTAGTAGTGTACTCCCAATTCTAATGCAGGTTCAAAAACCTTTCCTTGGCAAGTGCCAATGGTGCCATCGAAAAGGGCATTCTCTCGCACATTGTTAATCGTTCAAGGAGATGCCTCCCAAGATCATTCCTCCACCCTATGAGCTTAATATCAGACAAAACACGCTCAAGTCAACACCATTGGCCTAGCTTCTGTTCCAGGTCAAGCTAGTTGGATCTTTGATAGTAGCGCATCACATCATGTCACCACCGACCTTAACAACCTATCGTTCCACACACCGTATGACAGAACGGAAGAGCTCGTAACAGGTGACGGATCAGGTCTTCAAATCACTCATATTGGTTGTCTTTTACTTCACACCACACACACATCCATTATTCTTAAAAATGTTCTGTGTGTTCCTTCCTTGGCTAAAAATATAATCTCTATTTCACGTCTTTGCCTTGTAAACAATATTCTCATGAAATTCTACTCTTCTGTTTTTGTTCTTAAGGATCGAGCAACCAAACTCAAACTTCTCCAGGGAACGGCAACCAAGGGAATGTATGAGCTTCGCTCAAGACGTGTACTATCCTCACCCACAGTCTATACCATGCATAAATTCGATTCCACTACCTGGCATCATCGGCTTGGACACCCACATAATAAAGTTTTCAAGCTTTTATCTTCTCATATTTCTTTTAGTTCCAGTTGTCCTCTTTATTGTAATGCATGCAATATTAATAAAAGTCATCAACTTCCTTTTGCAAATTCGTCTCTTACGTCTACTTCTCCTCTTGACTTAATATTTGCATATGTTTGGTGTTCACCTATAACATCTTTTGACAACTAAATACTATATAATATTTATTGATCATCACACCAAATACATATGGCTTTACCCTCTCAAAAATAAATCTGATTCCTTCAATGTCTTTATCAGATTTCAAAAACTTGTTGAAAATTTTTTCAACACTAAAATTAAACGTTTCTTCTTTGATAATGGTGGAGAATTCATCAAACTCACCTCTCATTTCACTTCTTGTGGAATTTCTCATCTCACTAGTCAATCTCACACTCCTCAACACAATGGTTATGCCAAAAGAGGACATCGACATATCATCGAAACCGGTCTTTCCTTGCTTTCTCATGCCACGCTTCCACTCACATTTTGGCCGCTAGCATTCACCACCGTTGCCTACCTTATCAACCGGCTTCCTGCCCCAACCTTAAACAACCAACCTCCCTAGTTCACCTTATTTCAAACACATCCCAATTATCATAAACTCTGTTCTTTTGGCTACCTATGCTACCCTTGGTTACGACCATACTCTCCTCACAAACTCCATCAACATTCTACACCTTGTATTTTTTTTGGTTATTCTCCCACTCAAAGTGCCTACTACTCCCTCGATCCCACTTCTTACAAAATATACACTTCTCATCATGTTACCTTCATTGAAAATATTTTCCCTTTTTCTAAAATGACAAACTTCACACACCAAACCGAACCTCCAAACTTAGAGGTTTGGGCCCCTTTTCTGTTTCAGTTACTCCTAAATCTCACTCCTCAAACTCTCCCTCTCACTCAACCGTGACCCCACCTATCTCCTCAACCTCTAATTCCACTCCCAATGATTCCACAATGCCTATATCCTCTACTCCATCATCAAATACCTCACCTACCTCATCTACATCCCCCACTCCATAGCCCACCACGCGACCCCCACCCAAACCAAACACACGTCAAAATCCAAAACCCAACTCTAAATATCATAATTCTTATTACCAACTTTACACTCTCTCTTTAAATCCATCCAATGAACCCCCTACCATTGCTCATGCTCTTAAACACCCTTCTTGGCGTGACGCCATGCAACTTGACTTCGATGCACTTCAACACAACCAAACCTGGACATTAGTTCCCTCTACAAATGCTCATAATCTTGTTGGTTGCAAATGGGTATATCGAACCAAGTATAATCCCGACGGTCCAATTGATCGTTTAAAAGCTCGCCTTGTTGCTAAGGGCTTCACCCAACGCCCAATCATCGACTATTGTGAAACTTTCAGTCCCGTTCTCAAACCGGCAACTCTTCGTTTAATCCTCATTCTTGCTGTTTCCCAGAACTGGATTCTTCATCAACTTGATATCAACAACGCCTTCTTGCAACGCACCCTCAATGAAGACGGGTATATGGCCCAACCACCCGGCTTCATTGACCCTGTCTTCCCTTCCCACGTCTGTAAATTAAACAAGGCCATTTATGTTCTGAAACAAGCCTCTCGAGCTTGGTATGACGAGCTAAAAACTTATCTCTTATCTCATCGTTTCAAACCAACTATTTTCGACTCCTCTCTCTTCACCCTCACAGTTGGTTCTTTCCCCATCTACATCTTAGTCTATGTTGATGATATCATCGTCACCGGTCCCTCTACTCTTTTAGTCACTCGCTTTATTAATCTCTTATCTACAAAATTTTCTCTCAAAGACCTAGGTCCTCTTTCATACTTTCTTGGCGTTGAATGCATTCCACATTCCCTTGGTCTTCTTCTCTCTCAACAAAAATATATAACTGATGTTCTCAAAAAGGCACGAATGAGTGATTGTCGACCCATTTCCACCCCTATTACCTACTCTGAAAATCTCATTCCTACTGGCGCCCCTGCATATCCCTCTCCCAAGGATTATCGCGACATTGTTGGAGCTCTGCAGTATCTCTCACTTACTAGGTCGGATGTTGCTTTTATAGTGAACAAGCTTTCTCAATTTATGCATGCTCCTACCTTTCAGCACTGGTCGGCTCTTAAACGCTTACTTTGCTACCTCCAACGTACAAACTCTAAGGGACTTCTACTATAAAAAGGTTCGGCTCTTAATCTGCATGCTTTCACAGACGCCGACTGGGTGGATGACAAAAACACTTATTGAAGCACCACTGATTATATAGTTTTTCTTGGTTCTAAACCTATAGCATGGAGCTCAAAACGCCAAAGTACTTTAGCCCGAAGCACAACAGAGGCTGAATTTCGAGCGGTCGCATCTGCCACAACCGAGGTTCAATAGCTTGCAAATCTTCTTCAAGAGCTCGGTTATCATCTCTCTACGGATCCCACCATCTATTGTGATAATTTAAGTGCTACCACATACTCCGCAAATCCGGTTTTTCACTCTCGAATGAAACATCTAGCTTTAGATTTTCATTTTGTATGTGAAAAAGTGCAGCTTGGTTCTCTACTGGTTATATACATGTTTCTGGGGACGATCAATTAGCGGACGTACTTACAAAACCATTAGTAAAACCTCGCTTTCAGCTGCTAAATTCCAAGATTGGTCTTGCTTCCCGCTCGTCCATCTTGCGGGGGAATGTTAAGTGATACCGCCAATTTACACTAGTAGAAAATTGGTGCAATAGCTACAGCACAATCCGTAGCTATTCCGTAGCTATAAGCAGATAGTTACGGAATTGCTACGGAAAAATGTCTGTAGCATAATGGCCCATGGCTAAATTATAGCTACGGATTAGCTACGGAATTGTTACGGAATAGCTACAGAATTTTCCGTAGCTACCATAGCTACGAAATAGCTACAGAAATAAATAGCTACGGATTTACTACGGATTACCCACGGGAGTCATGTTTGACTAAAATTGACTATTTCCTACGGAATAGCTACGGAATTAAATAGCTACGGAAATAAATAGCTACAGAATAGCTACGGATTGAAATAGTGACAGATATTGCCAACGGATTTCCACAGAACCTGTTACCTATGGAAATTCCGTCACTAATCTGTCACCAAAATGAGTAAAAAAAAAAAAGAACTTTAAAATCCAATTTTTCTGCCGAAAAAAATCCAAAAATTAAACATATAATAAATTACTTATTCAACCACAAAACTAATAAACATTACAATAAACTTTGCTAGTTATAACATTATACGTTGCATTTACTCAATGTATTTCAATTAAGTAGCTTAAACACAAACCAATACAATTCATACTCATGCAATTACAAACACAATGCATTTCAACTGTCCTATCCTACTTTGTATGAATATATTCCTTGTAACTATTTCTAACCTTGCCTTCGCTTCCTGCTTTGGCTCTTTTTCTCGTAACCATACAAATATTGCAAGTATTATCCATTGAATTGGTGAAACAAAATAACAGTCTTGTATCAAACTAACAACGTGCAGCTTGCCTGAAAAAATGTGAAAACAAGTATCAATTACTAATTGAAAGAATGTGTCACTGTTATTTAGTTACAATAAGTTAGTTATAATTTTCTTTTAGCATATAAAAGAAATCATATTATTCAAGCGATGTTAATAATACTGTGGGTATTATTTATTATGGTAACTAATATTCATACCATTCAAACTAATTTTAACACATGAATGTTAACAGATACAAAATATCATCTAACAAACAAACCATTTTTCCTGGTGTTCATAATAGTGAAAAATAGCATCTTATTAACAAACCATTTTTACTAATGTTAAATGATAAAAAAAAACACCATTTCAATCCATCTAATCATCTATGCCTAATAAAGAAACATTCAGATTCATAAATATTTACTTTATAAAAACTAGAATTAATAAAGACTTGAATACACATAAAGAAATTAACGGACCTGGTAATGTGCTATTATCTAAACCAAGAGCCATTGTAGCTCCTCTTCTGTCAAAATTAAGGTTCCCCCAAAAGCAATACATGTGGCATGGGATCAAGAAGGTTAACCTAGAATCAATTAAGCAATTAATTTCAAGTAAATAGTGACAAAAATGAGATAAAAATAAAATCAAAATCAAAGAAAGGTCCACGATAATACTATATCTTTTTAGCAAAATTATTTTAGCTGGGTTATCTATATAACGTACCAAAGGATACAAAGTTATTACCTCATTAAATTATCGTATGAAAAGATTCTTAATCGCCCTCCCAATTCCAAAACCAGGATCTGCACAAGTTTTAGCAACAGTCAATCTTCAATAAACAACTCAAATTATAATCGTCAATAGAAAGACATTAAAAAACTAAGTAGCTGAGTCTATTTATTAGAGATGGAATGACACCTTATAAACTTAAATAAGAAGAAAGAGAGAAAGAGAGCTAACCAAGTGCTACAAGATGTCACAGTGACAAGAACTCAAACTCC